AGATCCAGCCTTGCTGGCGTCACAGTGACCCTTCTGCGTCAGCATCTTGATTGCTGGAATTCGACGCACGCACCACCATGCCTGGCTTTCCTAAGGAGACATCTTTTGTGAAATGAAGACTTAGTTGATGCAGAAACATCATTCTGTGTAGTTTTCTTTCAATTGTCTTGCTTGTCACAGTAGTATAAGCCCAGCTCTTAGAAAATCTGAGAAAAGGCGTGGTGGCGCACACCAGCACTCGGGAGGCAGAGGCAGGCTGGGGATCTCTGCGAGTTCAAGGCCAGCCTGGTCTACAAGAGCTAGTTCCAGGACAGCCATGGCTACACAGAGAAACCGTGTCTTGAAAAAAAAAAAGAAAGAGAATGGGACACTAGTATTACTTACAAATTGCTTATGTATAGTGGCATTTCAATTATATTTTAATAAATAAAGGCTGCCTTAATCCCAGTAGCCACACTAGTTGCTGTTAACTGGAGTTTCTTTCCCATTAGGCCCCACAGCCATTTAGCCTCAAATAAACACACAGTAATAAACTACATTACTCATAAACTGGTTGGCCTAGTAGCTCAGGCTTCTTACTAACTAATTCTCACATCTTACATTAGCCCATTAATCTTGTCTGTGTCAGCCACATAGCTTGGTACCTTTTCCGGCATGGCAGTCACATCTTGTGTCCTCTGCATCTGCAGAATTCCCAGAATTCTGTTCTCATTGCCCCTCCTTACTTTCTGTCTGGCACTGGCCAATCAGCATTCTATTAAACAAGTACTAGAAATAAATCTTTACAGGGTAAACCACTATCCTGCAGCAAGCTGCCATAGAAATCAGGTGGTGCATGCCTTTACACCTTTAATTCCAGCCCCAGAGAGGACTATAAAACGGGAATAAACAGCTCTTAACAGTCTCATTCTGAGAGATTCCTGGAGGCAAGATCACCATCTCAGACTGAGGTCAGAACAGTGGTTGGCTGTTTTGCTTTTCGGATCTTCAGGCTCAACCCGTTTCTGACCCTGAGCTTCTATTCATCGTGCATCCCTTATGGACTGTTGTATTAAGTACAGAACTTCTGAATCACTCATGCAATGGTAATGCAAACCTATTTCCCTTTTCTTCATACCTCAAAGGGCACCCGAAAGAAAGAAAGGGGCAGGGCGGATGGCCAGAGAAAATTCCCAAGACACAAGACTGAAGGGGGAGGAGGAAGGCACAAGTCCTCGAGGCAGAAGGTACCACAGTGGAAGAGGCCACACTGGGACATGTTTAAGGGGCAACTCAGAAGGCAAGTCAACGGCCTTCAAACTACCTTATGTTAGGAACAACGTGTTTGTGAACTGCAACAACTGCTGCAGCTTATAACCCTAATGGCCAAACATGACAGCAATGAAGTGATTATCAAATTTACTCTTAAAGTCATGGGCTACCATAAAAGGGAAGCAAAAAGCAAAAACCAACCAAAACGAAAAAGCACTAAAGAGAGTTTTGTTTTTTTTTTTAAAAAAGTAGACTTGTATTTGCCATTCGTGGTCTTAATTTTTTTTTTTTTTTGAGATGGGGGTGGGTGGTGGATTTCTCTGTAGCTTTGGATCCTGTCCTGGAACTAGCTCTTGTAGATCAACTAAGATCTGTGCTGGGGTTAAAGGCGTATGCCACCACTGCATGACTTGTGGTCCTAAACCTATAACCTCTTAAGTAGAGGGTTAAATAGGCTTGCTAGCTGTGTAGACTCTAGCACTCTGAGGTGAAGCAGGAGGATCAAGGTGAAAGCAGTCCTCAGCTACTTAGTGAGCTCAACTGCACGCAGCCTGGACCACACAAAATGCTATCTCAAACAAAACAAAAACACCTGCACAGTGTTTGTAAACCATCTCAAAACGTACAGGAACCACGAACCACTTCCTCCAAAAGGAGGACATCCATTAAAATCCACTCAAATGTGATGCATGCCAGCTGTTAGGTAGAGTGCTATGTAGCAGTTTCTGAGATTAAAACCGTGAAACAAAGAGGGAAACTTCCTAAAATGTAGGCTTACAGAGGCAAAGTACGCTGTTCTAAAGAGACGTGAAGTAGACACAAAGTAAACGTCCCTGAAACTGACTAGATTCCCCAAATCCTTTCCCCATGAGTCTATTAAACTGTAGAGACTATTGAGGGCCTCTCTCAGACAAGCCCAGCAGAAGCAAATAATGCCTAGAATTAATAAGGACAAGCTCAACAGCTTGGAAGATGCCCAGACCCACTGAGCCACCAGGAAAGGACAGTCCAATCTTTTGAGCTGTGGGGTGTACTCCAGGTTTCTAGCTTTGGGAGCCATGCTGGGGTGTTTTTTGGTGACACTATGTTGTGTCTCTTTGAGTCATTTCTGCTCTTGTAAGTAAACCCTCACCCAGATTCCTCTAAATAACCCCAGTAAAACTCACGCTTCACCAAATCAGACTTCAGAGATACTCATACTTCGGTATGTACAGGTGCCCTACCTGAGCTGAGCAGGCGTGTGTTTATCTCCCCAGAAAAGGTCTGTCTCATGACCTTTTCAGAGGGACAAGCTACCTGTGCTATCTATCGGTAGTGCAAACATGCATCCTAGCACTAACTCCTCCTGAGTCCATGAAATCTGTACCATCAGACTTTCCCTCCCCATTAATTCACTCCCTTCCAAAAAAATTTTCACCACCGCCAGATCTGACACTTCCAAAAACTGGGAAACTATCCACAAGCTCTATCTGCTCTCCCGTGGAAACTTAAGCCAAAGAACCCGGCTTTGGTTCTCACCCAGTGTTTACTTGGATCTGGTCCGCCCAGCACCGGAGAAGCAGCAAACCACCGGACCAGTCCAGTTCTGCTCCACCAAGGGGAAAGCAATTCGTGAACGTTAGCCAACCAGGAGAGCATCAAGCGCATCAGGGTCTGCAGCCTAAGCAACTCACCTACTCCGTGACCATTAAAATGCTAAAACCTTCAGTCAGTCGGAAGTGACGTGCCAGCTCAGCCTCTCGGGTCAGCCACGTAATCCGTCGCCGCCGCCTGCAGCAGCCACCCTCTCCCCAAACTGACCCAGAGACCGGGAAAGTGAGACCCAAAGCCCATAATCCGTAGTCACCCCGGCCTCTGCGGCGCCCAGCCCCACCGGGGAGCGGCCTGAGAACCCCCGACGCCGGCGAGGTGACACCGAGGCTTCGCCTGCCGAGATGA